AAAAAATCTTAAACTATTAATAAAAATGAATAAAAGAATCAATGTTGAAGGAATCATATTACCAAATGTACCATTAACAAACTTTCAGTTAATAAAAGCAGTAAAAAAATTAAAAATTAAAAATTTTAGAGGTGTATTTGTAAGAGATGAATTACCTAGAAGCTATGGATCTCAAAAGGGATCTAAAAATACACAAAAAAAAGAATGTGGAATATTAAATACTGGAGATTCAAGTACAGGTGGGTTTCATTGGATTTGCTGGTATAAAGACGGAGATATGAAACTAAGTTTCGACTCTTATGGCCTACCACCACCAGTTGAACTCGTTCAATACTTACACAGTCCTGTTTACTACAATACTGAACAAGTTCAGTTTGGAAATACTTCCTATTGCGGACACTTGTGTCTCTATGTCTTGAAAAAACTAAATGATGGAAATGAATTTCAAAGCATCATCAATTCACTTTGGTGAATCTTAAATATATTATAAAAATAAATTAAATAATAATGAGTATATAAAATGAGTATTAATATATTCGGTAGTAGTTCAATGAATGGATTATCTGCTTTTGGTAGCACATCAGGTGGCAGTTTAAATCTTAATATTAATGTAGACAATAAAGCGACTTCAGACGTTGATCTCAATACACATAAAATAATAAATTTAGCTGATCCTACTAATTCACAGGATGCAGCTACAAAGAATTATGTAGATAATAATCAGATTTCTAGCAGTGCATGTCTAAAATTAGATGGAACTAATAGTATGAGTGCTAATATAAATTTGAATTCACATAAATTGATTAATGTAGTTGATCCTACTAATGCACAAGATGCAGCTACAAAGCATTATGTAGATAATAATCAGATTTCTAGCAGTATGTATCTAAGAACCGATGGTTATAATCCCGCAACTGCTAATATAAATTTAAATACAAACAAACTCATCAATGTAGCTAATCCTACTGATGCACAGGATGCAGTTACAAAGAGCTATGTTGATGATATGCAAAATCAAAGTTTAGATATCATTCCCAATACAAGTTTAATATGCTTTGGACAAAAATCTCAAGCATTCTATGCAACTCCAGGATCATATACTATTTTTAGCTATAGTGGTAGTTCAGGAATTCTAAGAAAACTGTGGATTGCATTTACAGGATCTACTATTGCACCTAATACTGTACCAGGTAACTTGTTTTTAAAAATATATGCTGACAATGTACTTTGCATAGGTAATGATTCTATTGTAACAGATGGTGTAGGTATTAATAATACAGCTTTAGCTTGTGATTTATTAATTGCACCACTTGGTGGATCCTATTATGCAAACTCTTTACAAGGATGTAATGTATTTAGTACAAGTGCATTAGGAGGATATTTTACATTTGATCTTCCTTTTACATCAAGTTTGAATATACAATTATACAATAGAACAGGAAATTCAGTGACATTTTGGTTACAACCTTTTATCACAAGAACTTCATCGTTACAACAAACATTAACTAGTATTAATCCGTTAATACCTCGATCTATCTCATCCATTAAGTTGTACTCAACAACATTTAGATATGTAAATACAACTTATGGTAGTGAATATATGCTAATGAATGTTATGGATAATGGAAACGGAGTGTATTTGAAATACATAAGAATGCATGTCATTGGAGGATCTGGAAACTGGTGGGAATCTAGAGTTCGCATTTATGATGGATATGGTGCTCCTACCAATACTAACTCTGTCATTCAACCTTGGACACCTTATAATAATAATGGATATACTACATTTTCTGGATATGATGTTAACAGTCGATGTATCTACGCTTCATCAGGTTTAGAAGATTTTTATCTCTCTTCATGGAATGGATCTAATGTAAGCTCATTTAATAATGAAGTATCAGGATTGTTGAATCAATCAACTAGTACAATTGGTCCAACAACTACAATTTCATTTTATAGAAACTTTAATTCATCTGAAAGTATGCCTAGCGTTGGTATAGGTAGAAGAATGGTAGTGACACTCAACTCTGGTGATGCACAAGTTGGACAATCTGGAAGCTATGCTGCACTGATAGGACAATGCTTCTACTATGCATAAGATCACTCTGAATATCACGTGACCTGTGACGTCACGCAATAGAAACGAAATTGATACTAATTTTTTAGCGTAGCATTGATCACGAAGCGACCTAAAAATTTATTTCTTAGTTATAATATTTATACACACTATGAATGATAATGAATCATATATTTTAATTAAATATATGATTGAAAATATAGTTGAAAATGAAAATGGCCCAGAACTCTCCTTTTCTAACTACTAATGAGCAAATATCGTCATTTTCTAACTACTCATATTGGCTTGTATTTTATTTACAAAAAGATGATCATAAATTTTGTTGTAAAAAATCCTTGAAAAACCAGAAAGTACAGAAATTGGAAAATAATTACTTATATAACCAACTGCATTTAAGAAATCAGCACTCCATCACTAAGTAGCTTGTTAAACCATGTTTACAAAGATATACTTTTTTATCAACAGAGTTCTAAACAATTTAAATAAACTAAGTTCACAAACAGTAAATACAGAAACAATTAATAAATTTAAAAACAAGATAGACAATGGTTATTTTAAAAACAATTAGTTCGAAGGCTATAATGCAACTTAGTGTTGCATTCCGTTTGTTTTTTTATATAAAACTATAGCTATAACCTTGTATTATTATTATTATATGATAACCCCCCCCCCTCTCTCTTTAAATATTGGTGTATCTTTAGCTATCTTTAGTTGATCAAGAAATAATCCTTGTTTTATGAAATTGCTAAAGACCTGAAAGAGTATAGTTTTTATAATCTCGTAAGAACCGGTTGTAATGTAACCATTAATATTATCTGGGCCTCTCACTTTATTAATTTTTAGACTTTTATAAGCACATTCAAACTCTTGAATGGAAACTTCAAATCTATTTAGTATATAATTTACGAGAAGAATAAAATTATTTATAGTGTTAGTTATAATTGGAATATTTTTTTGCAAAGTTTGGATCATTAGTTGCAAAAAAGTTATTTATTTGGTTAACTATTTCTTTAGGATTGTAAAAAAATGATCAGTGTTTTGAATAACTTTTGGTAATTTGATGTTTTTATTTTACGATTGCCAGTAATCTCTGTGCTCATCTCAAAAGTTAGCAAGTAACAACAGCAAAGACACAAGCTTTGTACCAATAATAACTTTTCAGTCTCAATTTCAGAATGAGCTAGATGACTTAGTTAGAGGTTTATTTTTTATTAAGTCTGAAGCTGAAATTATGTCTTATTAAGTCAGAAGCTAAATTTTTTTCATCAAGGCTGAAGGAATATATTCTGCTAGGCAAAGATTGCAGAACACGTGTGTACCGAAAATGACATAAAGAATTTGAAATTTGCTGCGACTTGCGTAATGATCTTCTACTTATTAGACAGCAGAAGTGATGATGATTACTACAAGAAATTTTATTAGCCCCTACGATTGGAACTTTAGCCTGAGTTGTTTAATGTTTTATAGCAGTTTCTAGAAGATTCCAACAAAGTTATAACATATAACTCTGCCTTTCTTCATATCAAACTAGAATCGGTAAATCAGTTTGTAAAGACGGAAAACTTTTTAAAGAACAGTCTTACAAAATTTTTGCACATACATCAAGATAATTTAAAATTAAGCACAAATAAAAACTATCGATGTTGCGACAAAAAGGTTTTTGAATTCAGTGGCAAAAAATACATAAACAAACATAAAAAAATCTAGTGGGAAAGATCTTTGTAACATTGTGTAATGAGACATAAATACTAAAATAATCTAAAATATCTGTTCCAATGGCTCAGGCTTTTTGGAAGGTTTTTATAAATTAATTTCTCAATATATTGTTTATAGCAGAGACTAAGGTTGTATTTCCCCGATCTGTTAATGATTGGAAGGATATTATCAACTTATATAAGGCATAATTTCAGAATATTATCACAGGAACATATCAAAAAAATGTTTTGTAGTATTGGCATGATTGTTGCATTTTAAACAAGATATGTTTACAAACCGTAAAAAAGTTTTATTTAGTTACAAATTATGTTTTTTAGTTATAACGAAAATTTTTTTCGTTGCATTTTTTATTTTTTTGGGCTTCATTAATTTTTTAGTTCCTCTGAAATTTTTAATTGCATTAGAAATTTGTTTATATTTTAAAAATTCAGTTTTATAATTATTGTTCTTTATTATTTTCACTTTAGCTAGACTTTCAATTAGTATTATATTAAGATTCATCGGGCTCTTTCAAACACTTCGTTTGATTTTTTAAAACATTTTAAAGATATCTTTTACTGCATTTACACATTCGCTGCAACTTTCTTCATGTGTTTCTTGTAGCCCGCTAATTTTAAGCTTGTTTTTGTATATAATATTTTGATTTCATGATCTTTGTATCTTTTTAATTATTATTTATTTTTTTTATTTATTTATTTTTTCTTTCTTAAAAACTTAGACTGAATTTAATGTCATTTAAATCCTTTTTGATATTTAAAATTCCTAATTTTAACTGCTTAATTATTCAAGCAGTTAAAATACATTTACATTACATTATACATTTGCTTAGTTAAACTATCGAAAAATAAATCTCTAAAATAGTTCTACATACGTACTACCCATTAGCAATAACCTTAACTGTAAAAACGGCATCCTAACATAGATTTAACGCTTTTTAACTTTAAGTAATCGCACTTTAAATTTAAAGCAAAATGGCCTAATACAACAATAATCATAAAGTTGATAAATTAATATTAATAATAGCATAAGTTAATATTAATAATAGCATTCTACCATTTTAACTACCATAACTACCATAAAAACAAATTATGCGTTTCTATAAAAAACTTTCAGTTTGGAAAAGTCAAAGTTAATATGAAGTTTGGCAACTTATGAAATAAAAAAACTGTTTTTTATATACCAATGTTCTAATTAATAAACAATAATATAAAAAACATAATTAACAATAGTTTTTTAACGATAAAACGTATAGTTTACAAAATGATTCCATTTTGATTCTTCTGTATCATGGTCATAACCTGCCCCACCTGAAGCTGATGTTATCATTTTAAACCCTGCAGCATTTAGTTGATCAAAAGCTTTTTCAAGCACACTGTGTTTTAAATAAAATCTAGAAGTGTATCTATGAGAGTCGCCTCTATCTGGATCACGTGTTTCGTTAAGGGATTCGCTAAAAACTTCTCTAGCTAAAAAAACGTTGCCACAAACAATAATTCTTTGCAGTTTACGAAACTTCACATCAGCGTTACCGTCTCTTCCAAATGCGAAGGTCCCCCGTACGCATAGAGTAAGAAAGGAGGCTTTTTGTTTTGATAGTTCAAGAAACTCTAGTTCTTTAACCAGTTCATTAATTTTAAAGTAGTTTGCCTCTAATAATAATCTATCAAATTCCTTGAAATCACCGGGCAAAGAAAGCACCTCGTTTCTTAAAAATTCCAATATTACCCGAAACAAATCTCCATCGCGATCAATAAATATTCTGTTATGAAAATCTTTTACAGTGGGTATTGTTGGATTGTTAACAAGCTTTGCTAAAAGCGAATCGGGGTAACGACTTAAAGTTGAAGTTGTTGTTACATAGATTTTCCCACCAACGTTGAGTTCAACAACTGATGCATCAACTTTATTACAATTTGTTGCTATTGACATTTTGAAAGCTTTATGGAAGAAAGTATGTAGAAAATTTCTTTAAATAAATTTTATTAAAAAAACGATTCTTAGTGTACTTTTTTTAGTTCCAGTTTTGTTGCACGCAAAATAAAAAAAGTCTTAATGGTTGGAAACTTTTTCCTCTATTGCAAATAAAGAAAAATAGAATAAAGCGACAATTTATATAATAAAAAATGGCAGGTGCAATTAATCGATATGCGATTAACATAAAATCTGAAACTTTATAAAAGACAAATGCTTAAGCCCAAGATAACATTACAGATGCTTGTTTAAATAGATGAATATTGAAAAAAATACTTCTTGCTTTGGTATAATAGCTACATAATTATTTGCAATATATTCTTTAAACTTGAAAATATATTGTTTAAAATGTCAGAAATAGTTTGCTTTGAGAGATTCAATATTTTGATTATGTTTTTAGTATGGGTGTATCTTATCTAATCTTAAAACATTTTATTCACGACAAAAAAGAGTATTCCATATGCGATGTTGTGTTAATAGATTTATTATCGCATCTTTATAAATATTTTAGAGATTTTCATTTTTTGCATTTAGAAAGCAAAACAAATATATTATAAAGATAAATAATGAAGTTTTGTTTCAATATAAAAAAATCTTTAATAAATTACAAATCTTTTTAAATAGAAATATTTAAAAAAATATTTCGTGCATTCTTGTGGATTCTTTATTTTATAAAAACAACACAAACAATAAATCAGTTTCAGAAATCATTGCTGGATTACGGTTACCAGTATCATTAGCTCGCAAACAAATTTTTTATTACCTAATTGTACCTATAAGTAGCAAAAAATTTCTTGCAGTTTCTAGCATTATTAGCTTGTAAAAAAAGTTTTCTATTACCTGTTGATGAAAAAAGTTACGAAAATAAATAATTGTTTGTATTAAGAGATTTTTATATTCAGGCCATTATATGTAACTCATTAACGTTTTAAGTATATAATTTAAGTATACTGTACGCAAAATAAGTTTTAATTATTTTTTTTTTTATTATTATTCAATTATTTTAATTAAACGTTGGCCTACTTCATTTTGCTTTGCCATTTTTTTGTCTGATTTAATTTAATATGAAAATATCACTTGTTTAACGAAGCAATATTCAGGAAATATAAACACAATTAAATATAAAATAAAATATTAATTAAAAAATAAAATTAAAAAATACAACTATTTATTTTATAAAATGTTTACAACAGAATTTATGTGGTTGATGAATTTAGGAAAGAATTTGCGTGGATGATGAAATTAAGAGAGAATTTGTGTGATCGGCGAAATATATTCAAAATACGTTTAACAACCACAAAACTCTATATATTCATTATTTTATTTACTTTGAAAGTAAAAACATTTACCTCAACATTTTAAAAACCTTTTATCTGGTTCTCTCCAAAATTTAGTATTTCGTATTTTTTTATAGTAAGCTAAAGGTAATAAAGATATTATGAAATCAAAAATTTTCATATAAATTTATATTAACAACGTCTAAGGGTAAAGCATATGGCAACTGCTCAATTAAATTTTTATTGTTTTAAAATGTTTTAACCAAACCTATATGAAATATCTACGAAAACTCCTCCCAGTTAAATACATGACATACCCCGCATGATAGAGTTTACAACCATAATTTTCAACCGTATGGAATAACTGTATGGAACTCAGAACATCAGTTTCTGTAATCCCAAACAAAAACCGTACGTTGCCTTACTTAGTAGAGATTAAAGTAAAATTTATTGATAGCATAATTTTTGAGCATTAATCAGGTTTTAAATATTTCGATGTCAATTTATTAGTAAATTGGAAAATTAGTCACCAATCTACTAGTAAAATTTTTACTTTAGTTACAAGGTACTCAATTTTTACAGAAAAAAATTTCTAAAATTAGTTTCACAAAAGTTTTTACAAAGAATTTTTTAATTTTCACAAAAAAATACTTTCTATAAATTTTTATTACATAAGAGTAACTTTATACTTTCAAAAAGTAATCTTATCGATTTATAAATTTATTTATATCAAACTGATTGTTTATTGTATGTAATAAAAAAAAAAAAATTATCAATTTTTTCTTTTTACTTTTTCAATTACGATAATATTTGCATATTTTTGTATATATATTAAACGAACTTTTTTTATTGCAAAGTTTTTTTATTTTTCCTACATGCATTTTCCCACTCTAAATATAAATATAATGCAATTAAATATAAATATAATGCAATTAAATATAAATATAATGCAAATAAAGTAAAAGTTAGAATTAAAAAATATTTTTAGAAGAATCAATAAAAAATGAAAAATGATTTAATAATGCAACAGCTTTCAAAATAGGTCAAGATATAGTTTTGAAAAATTTTAAATTATTATGAAGCAAATAAATTGATAAATAATTTTATGATAGTATAACAAATATATCGTTATTTTATTTACATTAAACATATACAATGATGTTTTTATAATAACACAAATTTTATAAAGGATATAAAGTTAGAATTTAAATTAATTAAATATTTCGAAAATCTCCAAAATGAATTTTAAGGACATGAACGTGATAAGAATTCAAAGTTTTTTAATAGTTAACAAAACGTAAATAATTATTAAAACTTGAAATATTTAAGTGCTATTAACTGTCAATAATTACTTTCATGTAAAACAGATTGCAATTTAAATAATCTAGACAAAAAATTTTCCATACAAAATTATACAAAAACTCATATTTTTTAATGGTTTTTGGCAACGACTGCATATAGATGATTTTAAAAACAAAACACTTTTTGTTCGTTATTTAAAGAGAATAGTTTTTATTTCGCTTTAAAACTAATCAAAAGTTGCAAGAGTTCTTAAACCAATAATTATAACTCAATGCATTAAATAACTCTATTTATAATTAAATATTTTGTACCTTATGTTTTTGTATTCAACATGTTTTTGAGAACTTTACAAAGAGGTTCATACAAAGTTTTGAGCTTAACAATGTTAAATAATTGGTTTGGTATTTAGACATTTTAAATATAGGTTTGAAGCAGGGCCGACGACATGGGTTTTGAAGTGGGGGGGGGGGGGGCACAATCATCAATATGTGAAAATAGTCCTTTATACCAAGATTTTTCTTAAAAAAAAAAAAAAGTGGGGGGGGGGGGCACGTGCCCCCTGGCCCTTCCGGTGTTGTCGGCCTTGGGAAGATAAATATAGAGAGCCATTTTTCCTTAAATCTTTTAAAGTTACCGAGACCCGCAAGGATACTAATGTAAAAAACAGAAGTTTATTATCAACAACTTATTATGTTAATCCAATGATATTTGAATATCTACATACTTATTTTTACAAATTGTAAATAAACAAATAATCAAAGCCAAATAGATTATTAAAAATGAACAAAAAGATTAGTCACGTTTTTGTGAGGGAATTGATTCACAGATTTGTTTTACATTTGACTCCTAAAGGGAAGTTTTTACTTTTAGATAACTTTTAAGTTTTAATTTAATTTAAAAGTTTAATATCATTGAGGGAGTATCTTAAGTTACGTTTAATGATGTTGATGTTGGTAAATATTTGCTCACAATAATATGTTGATTTGAAAACTGTCAAGAGTCCAAATGCCGCCAGTTTTAATTGGTTGAAACTCTAAGAAAGTTCATGTTTCAAATATATTTTAATATTTCTTTTGAGAATTTGAAAGTTTTTTTTCATTTATAATCTACTGCAAATTTTTCTTTCCGAGTTTTCTAGTTTTGTTAGCAAAGTTTTTTTGATTTCAATTGAAGTTCAAATTAAGATGCATTGAGCTTTTGGAACAGTTTAAAAATGATTTTGTTGGTAATTACAGTGAAGTGTCAAAAATGACAAATCAATTTTTTCCTTTCTGAATTCTGTAAAACGATTAGTAAAAGAATCTCTCATTTTTCTGCAACCGAAAAATATTTAGTATTAATAGCATTTCCTGAATCTAATTGCTTTTTTAAACACAAGAAATGAATTACATTTTAACTGCTAATGCCATAAGTAACTCAGATATTTGACTTTCGAAAGAAACCTCATTTTCTAAAATCAAATGTGCAATATTGTCTCGTCCTTACAATACCTTATTGAAGTTGTTAAGATGAGTTCCGTATCAAGATTGGTTTTTTTTAACCAATTGTCATCGTTTAACTCCGGGTATTCGAAAACCCTTGACGACAAAAAATGTTTTAACATTTATACAGTGACCGAAACATGTTACTGCATCAATGTAAACTCCCTCCCCCTTCCAACGGAAATTTCTATAAAACAGAATTTCATTAAATTTTCACCTTTCATTAACTTCATAAAGTAAAAAAACAAAATTTGCAAAGATTTAATGTTTTATAGACAATTTTTTGACTACTACCTAACCATTTGACTACTACCTAACCATTTGACTACTACCTAACCATTTGACTACTACCTAACCATTTGACTACTACCTAACCATTTGACTACTACCTAACCATTTGACTACTACCTAACCATTTGACTACTACCTAACCATTTAACTACTACCTAACCATTTGACTACTACCTAACCATTTGACTACTACCTAACCATTTGACTACTACCTAACCATTTAACTACTACCTAACTATTTAACTACTACCTAACCATTTGACTACTACCCAACCATTCTCGTCATAAATCTTGAAAAGTTTTGCAAAAGTACAGAGTAGTTTAAAAAGTTAGCCACAGCATGGTTTAACGTAGTTAGATTTATTTCCGTTTCTAACCTAACAATAAATTTTTCACACTGATGGTATTTTATGTTTAAGAATTGCATTCAAAACCTTACAGTTTTTAAATACAATGTTGACATTTTTGCATGCAAATTTTATTCACGCACTTTTTGCGGAAATAAACGTTAGAGCAATAATAAATAAATAACTAGGAACTTTAATATAATTCTATTCTATTCAAAAAAAATTTTGTAAAAAAAATTTTAATAAAATAAATTAAATTTTGCATTTGTTTCAATAAAATTGAAATATTTATAAATCGAAGATATTGAAGAGCCACACAACTTGAATAAAAGAGCCACACGCGACTCGCAAGCTGCGGGTTTCTGACCCCTGGTGTAGTATTTTTTTTATATTATTACACAAAAAAATTATAAGATGATG